AGAAGTGTGCGTGGGTTAGGAACTTCTGCTATTGAGTCTGAGATGATATTATTTACGGACGTTAAATCATGTACTAGTCGGTACTTTGATTTATCTGCTTTTAGTACTGGTAGGATCGGGGTGTTGCATGAGCTTTGTGTCTCTTTCAGTACTCCTGCCTCCAATGATCCATTTATGGTTTTTGCTAATACCACTTTCTGCTTCTGGTTTCATTGGATATTGAGGGCGATAGGGAAGTTTTACATTTGGCTTTAACTCAATCTGCACTGGRTTTGCAGATTTTATTAAACCAACATCTGTGTCATGTTTAGACCAGAGATGTTCTGGCACTTGTTTTAGCATTTCCTCTTTTAGTTCATCATAGTCTTTTTCAGACTCTAAATATTTTTGCATTCGTGTCTTTGTTTGTGCAGTTATTACCTGTGGTATTGGAGTCATAGAAGAACCACAAAGTATTTTGATCATACTTGCATCGTCTGTTGTAAAAAATAGTGGATTGTCTGTTGGTTTCCACTCAGTTTGGGATGCTGTTAGCATTATTGGTCCAAGATCTTTTGACTCAAAACCTTCATTAACCATTAAGGTTATGTGTGGTGCAGAATCAGGAACATTGTGCCATTGTGTGATAAATGGATTGTCCTGAACATTTGCAGCTGCACCTTGTGCTCCTATTACAATATTTTGTGCTGTTAAATCTATACATAGATTTTTTGTTTCTTGGATCCATTTGTCTTCAAATATTTTGCTGCATGATGGATCATAGTACATAGTGCAATGATAGTCACTCATTGGTCGATTTGCTTTGGGGAGCTGTGCTTTGATGTATTTTTCCCATTTACTGAACATTTCAGCTACTGATTTTTAAATGTTTCCCAACCAATAAATATTTACATGTTCAGTTTGTGCATACATTTGAAAATCTAATCCAGAACTATCAATGTAGACACCTTGTGGTGAATACCAGATTTTTGCTTTTTGTTTACACAGTGCATCCCTGCCTAGTAAATTAATGGGGCTTTGGTCTGATACTAAAATTGGCATTTTAATTTTAGTTTGATTGACTGTCAAGTTTGCTGGGGCAGTCGTTTGATTCATTTGCTTTTGTCCAGAGAATCCCATTGTCTTTACATATTTGTCTGACATTTTGAGGTGTTCAGCACCTCAAAATGTCATGTTTGAGGTGGTTTGATAGAAAAAATCAAACCACCAAACCAAGAACAAGAAGAACACTTCTTGTTCTTCTGGAACAAGAAAAAAGATGAAACGTTTGAGGTGGTTTGATTTTATGCATGTGAATGAYGCCCCTGTGTCTACAAGCATAAGGACAGATTTTCCTTCTAATTGCACTTCAAGTATTGGATCAGCATCTGTAATTTGTGTTAAAATTGGGAATTCACACCTCATAATGGGGCCCTCTGGGCACCTCTAAAACCCTTGTTGTTTTGCAAATGGAATAACGAGACCTCTGGGTTTCCCTCGACCGGATGTCATCCCCTGGCCATGGCCAACCCAGGCAGGGTTTGGGGTCAGGTGTCCACAACTCCTCATATTATGGCCCATCTGTCCACAGTTCCAGCATGGTCCAAAACCTGCATGTTGTTGTCTTCCCCAGTTTTGTTGGTAAAGAGTCTTTCTCAGTCCACCAAGTCTTTGTCCACCTTGTTGGCTTGAGTAGACATTTATGACAGGTGGAGGTGGGCTCATTGGGCCTGCACATTGAGGGAACTGCATTTGTGTCCTTGCAGATCCAGGCACAGCATTGTTTATGTTTGATTGTAAGACTGGAGCCTGGGCCTTTTCTTTTCCTTTGTTTTGCAGTTCATTAATGTGGAGCTGTGTTAATTTTCATTGTGCGTTCAGGTCTGAGTCTTGCAGCTTTTTTATGTCCTTTCAAAACTTTTCAACAGCATGGACAACATATTCAAGAAACTCAGCATGACTTTTTTGAGTTTAAAGCTACCACATCCTCCAGTTTCTCATGAACTGGAATTGGCATTGCGCTCACCAGGGCTGACCTGAACAAAGCTGTCATCACTGGGCTGTCATTTGGATCTTCCTCCGTTTCAAGCCTCCATCTTTTAAGTTGTTTGTCAACATACTGTATGTCGCTGGGTTTTCATTCTCCAGCAGTGGCTCTRCCTTTMGAGCATTTGGATCAAGTCTGCTTGGGTACTGTGCCCTTAGCATGGTCCATATTTCATTTCTGTGTGCACTGAATTCAATTCCATCAGCACAAGCTTCTATCATCCATTCCTGTCCACGAGCTTTTAACATGGTTTGCATGGCTGAGAGACCAATGGTCCTTGACCAGACTGCTTTCAGATCTCCTATAGCAAGAAGGAGTCCTGTGGTCTCTGCCTCAAGGCTCCTTATCCATCTCCCTGCACCCACCTGGATCTCAGGTAGCCGGGCAATGGGTCCAGTCAGGTCCAGAGAGCCCCAAGGGATGTAATTTGCACTAGCCCATTTAATTAAGATTGGATACTGCCCAGGACTGTCAGTGTCACCCTGGACCAGCGCTACATATAGCGGGTAAAATAAGTATTGAACACGTCACCATTTTTCTCAGTAAATATATTACTAGAGGTGCTAATGACATGAAATTTTCACCAGATGTTGGTAAC